GAGCACTGACATGAGCAGGGTCCTAGCAGCAAGGGAACAAATATTCTAGTAGGAACAGATCACTGTTTAATGGAAATGTTGTTTCTTCCCATGGATTAATTTTTGCCTCTATACAAATTTTCTGTATGAGTCATGCTGCCCTTAGCTGCACTATTATCTTGCCATCCAACACATCACAGCTTCACAGATCATTGAGACCGCCACTGTGACCAGTGGTGTGGAGAGTTGTTCCATTCCCACACACTAAGTGCTGGCTCATGAAACAATGCATTGTCAGCTAATAGGCAGACTCAGACTTTTAATATCAAAAGCCAGTTTATTAATTTGTAGCTCACTTAGGGTGGTTTTCCTTATTTCCATAACTCCTTGTGTATATGTATAGTTAGCTATTCTAGCTCTAAAATGTGCTACAGTGCTGTTTCATTATTTTTAAAAAACATGCTAAGTCTGTCAATTTAAGGTGTTTGTGTTTTTAGTGATAACTCACTCCATTGTCATATAATAAATAAGAAATTCCCTCAAATATATGCTATTAAATTCATTGTTAGTTAATAATTAATAATTATTAATTTAGAAAAGTTAAATTATACTCTTCATTTTGACTAAAATTTGTGATATCAGACACTTTTGGACTTATGATTAAGAGTTTGCTTTAATCATAGTTTAAATTTTTGTTCAAACATACTAAATCATACTTAAAGGCAAAGATGTTAGAAGCTATTTGCTTTTGAATAACTTTTTGTGGTTAAAAAGGGTTCATTTTCTAGGACTACATTAAGAAATTACAAGGTTAATTTGTATAATATTCACATGAAAAACCTTTTGAACCTAAATTTTATGTCAACTCAAAAAATCATTGAGAGTCTGGGTGCATAGCACGGTGGTAGCGCACATGCGAAGGAGGTACAAACTACCATACACACGCATACACACACACACACAAGTGCACACACACACACACACACACACACACCAAACTATGAATCACTAAGTCCTAAAAGAAAATAATGAACATAGTTTTCAGTTTTACAGTGGTAAACCAATATAATTGGCTCTTTGCATTCATGGGTTGTGCAACCATAGATGTAGTGAACCATAATCAAAACCATAATCAAAATTATTTGGAAAAACTTTGTGTCTCTACTGAACATGTACTGTTTTTTTCTTTTTTCATTATGTCCTTAAAATACGGTATAACTATTTATATAGCATTTACATGGCATTAGGTATTCTAAGTCATCTTAAGGTGATTTAAAGTATATGGGAGAATTGAGTATCTTATATGCAAATATTATTTCCTATAAAGGACTTGAGCATCCTTAAATTTTAGTATCCGGATAGGAGTGGTGGGAGAAACAATCCACTTTGGATACAAAAGAACAAGTGTATTCAGTTTTTAAAGTCTTTTTTTGTCTATGAATCTTAATATAGATCTACTTGGGATTATAGATATCATTATATTTCTCCAAAGTTGGCCAAAATGTGTACTTTTTGTTTGATAGGAAATATGAATGTTACTTGGGAAATTAAAATAATCCTTAACTCTACTTCTCAATTTTATATAAATATGTGGGTTCTTAACATTCAGAATTCTAACAAAAGGTGGGGTTCTGAACAGAAAAGGGCTTACTTAATGAGGCCAGGCTTAGACTCTAAATTATTTTCCAGGGAGCTATCCAGGGTACTAGACTTCCTCTGCCTGAAGTAACACTGAACTATTGAGCAAGATCCAGCTGCCCATATAGATGTTGACCTATTTCCCTAAGGTCAGCTTGTTTATCTCTGACTTGTTTACCACACATAATCTAAAAGTTGTCACCCGCTTCATTTATTCTCAGTCTGAATGCATATATATCCTCTTCTTTAGACATGTCCAAAATTTCCTGCATTCAGTTGAGTTCCTAAACAGGGCATCAAGAAAGTAAGCATTTTCTTATGTTCAGCTATGTATACTAATAATAAGATATTATTAGCATGTCAACTCTTTTTATATAGTGGAGTCTTAAAGTGCCTCAAATGTGCTTGCACCTTATATAAGATTTCTTTTATAAATTCCTTTGCAGTTTTAAATTACATTTAATTCCAAAATTTTTATTCATTTTTTCTGTGAATTTAAAATATATAAAATAAGAATGAATTATATAGGCTTTATGAACAAAAATATTTCCCTAAACATTTTACTTGTTTTCATTAGTTAGAGCAGAAGTTCTCAAAGTACAGTTTCCAGACCAACAGCATCAAAATTATCTGCTGAGTAGCATTGCAATTGCCTAGTCTGCAACTAAGATTTCCTTAACAAGGATCACTGGGGATGGGATTAGCAAGCTGGGTTTTTACAAGTTTTATACATGATTTTGATGCATGCTTACAGGTGACTTGGAGTAATATATTAACAAGACCATAATCATAATTCTGAAATGATCTATTTCAGTTTAACATGAAGCTTAATTAAAAACCTTAGAGTCTAGTGAACAGGTAAGAATGGGCCCAAGGAAATCTTCTATCATTACTTCAGTGGTAGAAATTCTAATCATATGCTTTAAGTGATAAGATTTAATTAATAATATTCGAAAGAAAATCTGAATTTAGGCAAATTGGTGGGTACACATTTTACTGCTAAACAGATTTAGGAGTATGTTTGAAAATTGAGTAGAGAAACATAGGTACTCACATATCCTTAACTAAAAAATGTGGTTCACATATATCTCAGAAGGAATTGTCCTAAACAAAGTTCCCAGATTTGGAAGAGATGCAAACTGAAGAATTGTGAGCTACCCAAGAACTTGGCTGATTCGACCTTGGCTAATAGTGCTATGACTTATAAAGTGGCACCTGTTTTTTTAATTATGGTGACTATTACACTTATTCATATCATCCTTAAAATTCATATCCTGTCCGGTGGAAACAGCATTCTAGCATTATGAAATCCTACATTTTCCAGAATGTGGAATTCTAATAAAATATTGTGACCAATTTAATGATATTTAGAAATATAAAGAAGACAAAGGTTGCTGTTCATACTCCTTTGGAACAGATATGGTTACTGAAATGGAATAATGTTGTGATTTTAGCTAAATCATGGAGTATGAGTACCTTTCATAGAATTCTTAGGAGTCAGACTAGACTATAAAAAATGGCTACTCATTTTCCACTATCACTAGTATTATTAATGGATTTGATTTTTTATATATTATGTGAGCTTTAGTTACTGTCTGAAAAGGAGAAACTATAAAATTAGTATTATAGTTGTCATTTATTTGAGACTTAACGTCACTCATTTCAGTATAGAAGAGATAGCTTGCATTTTACAAGTATATATGAATTACTTGTTTTTCTGCAATTGATTTGCTTGGTTTTTTTTGTTTTTTTTTTTGTTGTTGTTGTTTTGAGACAGGTTCTCACTATGTAGTTGTGACTGACCTGGAACTCACTATGTAGCCCAGGCTGGTCTCAAACTCAGAGATCCTCCTGCCTCAGCCTCCTGAGTGCTGGGATTACAGGAGTGCACCACCAGGCCTGGCTCTGCAATTGATTTGTAAGAGCCAAATGTTACATAGTATTATTGAAAAATGAAGTTCTCTTAAACTTCTAAGATATTATTTAAAGATAATATGAGAATACTGATTGCTACTTAATTAAAATGTCCTTGTTTTTATACATGAATTTCATATTTTAAAACAGGATATCTTTGAAATAAGATATTCAAATATTTTCTAATAAGGCTTTCATTGTTCTGTTGTTTATCAACATTTTCAGATTATTTGGATTATAAGCTTTGGGGAAATATGTAGAAAATACTGAAAGATTATGTGTTTCTTTTTTATAATTATACTCCAAATATTAATCACTTTGTATTTGTCACAGTTCAGAAATCAGACCCAGAGTGAAGAAACTGTCAGTAGTCTGTGATCTGCTGCTCAAAGGCCCTTGGTTCATATTTCACATTCCCTTAGTGGGGCTCAGATGGGTCAATTAACTTTTTCACTTATATTACATGGCCACTCATTTTAACTTCCAATCCTGGTCACGCATTGTGTCTATTTGTCACTGGGTAAAATTTCAGTGTGGAGTTTTAAGTGTATCCTTTCTCTAGTCCTGGAAATGCTCAGAACGTGTGTTTTTATAATAGTGGAGAACATGGCATTATCTTTTATGATGACCAGTATATTGTCCATAAACTAGATTGCATCCTAAATCCGTTATCAATAAAATATTTCCAACTATGACATAGTTTTTAATATATTATGCTTTAGCAATTGAAAATTCAGAAATGCATAAGCAAATAGATAATTTCAGCATAAATATTTCTTGAAAACTGAAGAGAAAGCACAAACCTTTGCTGTGTATAAAAGTCTTCACTAGCAGTTGCTTCTCTGCTTGAATATGAAGTCATCATATTTTCCACCAGCTGTCCAAGTTTCCTGTGGGCTAGCACAAATGAGATTGAACAGGCCACAATTACTAGCAACTTAAAATAAGATAACATATATTTGACATATTAAACACAGAACAAACAAGCATTAAGCTCTTCGAAGTTGCCTTATCTATTTTTATATCTTCCCACAGCTTTACTACATCTAGCTGCAGTTGTATTGTTTGTTCACAATACAAAGTATATTGAACACCAACCTAGTGCTGTGAATGCAGAGCTTAATAAGTTAATTAATTCACTACATCAAAAAATCTCGAAGTTTTCTAGTAAGGCAAAATTAAGAAATACTATTGTAGGGTTATAGAAAACATGGAAATATGGAGAATTAGGCATCTCGTTTTCTGTAAGGGATGAGTAGAGGGAGCACATGGAAGGGAAATATAAATTCAAAAATGCTTCAGAGAATTTCAAGTGGGGTAGAAGATTTGGCATTGAAAAGGCCTAGTTTTAATTCTAGGTTTCACATTTAATAATCATGAGGTCTTGGAGAAAACTTCTGTACCTCTCTAAGGCTCAGATTCCTTGTCTGCAAAAAATATGTGTTATGTTTTTTTCTCCCCTTCTCTCAAGGGGCTACTGTTCTTGGAGGTACTGCAATATAAGTCATTGTGTGGAGTGGAGAGAGCAAGCTCCTATTCCATCTCCTGTCTCCAAACACCCATTTAATGTATTGCTCTTGGATAGAGGACATAGCAGATATCAAACTAGGTATTATAGATACAACACTTGATCTTAGCCAAAAGGTTGAGAGGTGATAAGGTGATACAACTTTTGACAAGTTGACATGAAGGCTGAATGAATTCATGAAGGATGTATGCCTAGCAAATATTAGGCTCTGTATGCATAGTAGCCATTTTTATTGATTACTATTAAGAACAGATTGCACAAGGAGGCCTAGGAAAGGTAAGAGTCTTTAATAAGGGCATTGATCTTATTAGAGTGTGTGGTGGTAGATAGTAAAGATGAAGCTAGAAAGATAGAAATTGGATCACATCTTCATTGAGAGATAAGGAGTTTGAATGTTTTACTGGATATGATGGAAAATCTTTCAAGAAGTTGCAACACTGTGCTTACACTGGGGAAAATGATTTGGCATGTGAGAGAAAGCATAAGTTTAGGCTCAGAAAGACCAGGTAGGAAAGTGTAACATTAATTCAAGCAAACATTGTAAGAGTTGATCTGAAGCAATGGAGAATGAGTAGACATTTATTAATGTATGAGATAAGAGTTAAGAAGTCTAGTTAACTCATCAAAAGTCATAAGAGACCAGAGTGTAGTAAAACCATAGAGTCAAGCCAGGCATGGTAGCTCACGCCTGTAATCCCAGCACTCAGGAGGCTGAGGCAGGAGGATCACTGTAAGTTCAAGACCAGCCTGTGCTACATAGTGAGTTCCAGGTCAGTCTCAACTACATAGTGAGACCCTGTCTCAAAAAAACAAAAAAGAAACCCATAGAGTCAAGGAAGGGTTTTAAAAATTTTCATTATTATTTATTAATTAATCATTATGTTCAATCAATTAATTTATTAATATTATGTAATATTTTGTTGCAATAAACAATAAATATATTCATCATGGATATTGGTGCATCTACACAACACATCTTGATTCTTTTTACTTCCCCTTCCCCTCTTCTACCTCTCATCTCCTTTCACCTCTTAGTCTCATTCCCATTTGAAAAGATCTATCTCCCTGTTTTCTATTATCTGTCTTTTATTTCTCTATTTTCTTTATTAATCTTTTAAATTTATTGGTACATTTTAGGTATACAACACAGTTACATTCATCATTGGTGTCTTGTACCTTTACATGACTTATCTTGGTTCTTATTTCTTCCCTATTCCCCAGCCCTCCCTTCATCCCCTCCACCCTTCCCTGTTTTCAAAATCATTGTTTCCATGTCTTTCCTTTTCACATATCTTTACTCTTTTCACCTTTCCCCTACCCCTCCCACTTTCTCTATTCTTTTAGACCTTTTCTTCCTACTATACAGTATTGATTATACATTTTGATCCTTATTTATACTTTTACTTTTTCACACCAGAGAAAGTATTTGATATTTACACATGCGTGACTTATTAATTTCACGTAAGAGTATGACCTTGGGGCCAGGTATTTAGCTCAGTGGTTCCATGCCTGCCTCACAAGCAGAAGGATCCAATTTCTATCCTAGGTACAAACAAAACAAAACAAAACAAAGAGTATGGCCTCATAGTGAATCCACTTAGCTATAAATATCTATAGTTTCTCATTCTTTATGGCTGAGTAGAACTCCATTTTATATAAAAAAAGAAACACATCATCTCTATCCAGTCTCCAGTTGATGCGCAATTGGGCTGTTTACAAATTTTAGCTATTAATCTGAAGTTATTTATACTTTCAGTCTCTCATATAAGCAAAACCAGGCCCTATCTATCTACCTACCTATCTATCTATGCCTTTTCTTTATCCATTTGTTGATGAGCTTATGGACCTCCTCTGTAATTTACCTATTAAATTTTTTGCTGCTACAAACAGAGGTATGTATATATTAATATAATATGATATATTTAACTTTTAAAGAAGATACCTAGAAGAGGTATGGTTAAGTCAAATAGAATTTTTTAATTTTAATTTTAATTTTTCAGTTTTTTGAGGAATCTCTGTAGTAATTACGAAAGTTTTTGTACTAGTTTGCATTTTCACCATTAATGAAGAAGGATTTTTGATGAAAAGTATTATTATTGTTATTTTAAGATGGAGAGATGTAGCCAAGTTTTGGTGGTACATGCCTGTTATTCCAGCACTCTGGAGATTCAGAAAAGATCATGGAGAGTTCAAAGCCTGCCTGGCACATATGTTCTTTGATTGTCTCAAACAAAACAAAACAAAGCAAATCAAAACAAGTGGAGCAGATGTGTGATGGAATATATGCTAAAGAAAATCAATGGGTGAGTGAATGAAAACATGTGAAGGTTAACTTTTCTTTAATCATTTATTGGTGTATGGGACTGAACCCAGATTCCTGTGCATGCTAAGCATTCACTGTTTCATTAAGCTATGCCCTCAGCCTCAAAGTTAATTATATGTGTAAGAAAATCAATATGTACTCATTCTTAGAAGCTTCTTATAATAGATGATGCAGTATTTATCAAATGCACAGCACAACAGTAAAGGACATATTCATTTGGAAAGCACTTACTCGGCCCTGTTATGTTCTGTAAATTATGCTAGGTGCTAAAGAGAATAATTAAGCAAATATGTAAGGTGTTCATTGGTGTTATGAAGAAAAAAAAAGGAGAGCGAGAGCAGAGAGTTATGGGTTGTGTTTTCGGTAGGCTGATGATGGAAGGATGTTCTAAAATAAGATATGAGCAGAATAGGTGGATGGTAGGTGTCATTAATTGCCCCGGAGAAAACTCGGGGATGAGTAGCATGGTCAGGGTCAAAGCAATAGTTTAGTTTGGAATAGGCTAAATTCGAGAGATCTCTATATTACTAATGCAAGTAAAAGTGCTAAATAAGCAGGTGCAGGTATAAATCTTGACTTAAAGAAATAGCTTTTGGCTGGAGATAATTTTATACACACTCAGTATACAGATGAAATTTAAAACATGGATCTAGATGGGATATAGAAATGCTGTGCTTAGAGTGTTGGGGAAGATCAACGAACTAAGCCTTGAAGTTCAATAGTCAGAGATTTTGAAGATGAACGATGACCCAGCAATGGAGACAGGGGAGAAATCATCAATGATGTAGAAACAAAACAAGTATTGTTTTATTTTGGAGACCAAGAGAATATATTTAAAGGAAGAGGAAGTGATGAACTGCACCACATGCTAGCAAGCTGAAGTCAGTAACAGCATTCTTTTGTTGATGGGAAATAAGGAAGTAGAAGGAGGAAAATAACAAAGGCGACGACGACGACGATGATGTGTGTAGGTGTTCCAGAACAAACGTTCTGAGCAAGCAGGAGGGGAATGATTTTCAGAGTGCAAAATGATTGTCCTTAATCACAAACACTTCCAGCCTGGCCAAACATGAATTCATTCAATTTCTTATGCAATACAATCACACATTTTCAAGATTTATAGCCCTATGCATAACTCCTTTCAAAGGTTTCACTTACAGAATTATATTCCTAGACCTCACATTCTCCCTGCATTTTAAGCAGAGCATGGAAGCACCATTAGTGATCCTTGTCTCCAAGCCGCTCCCCTTCCCTTCCCCCTCGTCTTCCTTAGGGCTCAAAGCCTGGTGGTGAAATAAATAGGAGGCACGTGAAATGTTAGAAACCTCTCCAAGGTACTGAGCTGTCTTAGTCGCTCTTACAATTGCTTTTATAAATCTTTTTGAATTTTGAGTTCTACAGTATTTGATGAGGCTTTTGATCATTCATTTCCTGTGTGACAGACTCTACTTCATCACCACTACATTGTTAGATTGGTGTGTAGTGTGTGGCTTAACGTAGCAAAGTAGAAAATCATGATTTGGAGAAAATATAAAAGTTATAATTATTTTCACTATGGATCCAGTATTCTCATAGCTGTATGAGAGACGAGTAAGCATCGGACACCCTGACTTCCTTGCCACAAGAACAGTCCAATTAGAGGCCTCTGCGTTTGTATGGGTACACGTGTGTCCACTAGAAACGTGCTATCATAGTGGGGGAACCATTGGAGCATTAGAAAGATAGCAAAGGGTTGGGTTAGTAATAGCAGAAGTATGTCAATATCTTTTAAAAACTTTTTCTTTTTTCTCTAGCTTCTAGGAGGCTCACGTATAATGGACAAAAAAAAATCCCAGCCCAAGGATTCATTGCTAAGTATTGAAGTAAGCGTGGTTTGGTATAGGACGACTGTTTTTCCTGAGCCCGGAAAGCAGGTACTTCTGGAGTCCTTCCCTGGCCTTGACTCTGAATTCAGCCTCTGGAGGGGAGGTCGCTTGGTTCCCGCATCCCTTTTGTGAATTCTCCCGCGAACAAGACAGCTCAGTTGTCTTGAGAGAGCCTGCTGAGCATGTGTGAAGAGCGCTGCGCATGCTCGGTGGAGTGGGCAGGTTTACCGAGACTCAGCAGTGTCTTTTACTACTCTTCACCCGCCCAGCACGCCTCCTCCCTTCTTTCCCACCATCACCACCACGCAGTCCCCCACATTCACCCCGCCCC